TTTCAAAAGTTACTTTTAAAACTTGGAAAATCTGTCGAAAAAAGGCGCCGGAACTCCATTCCAGTGCATTCTATGACAAAAAAAGCACTGAGGATAACTGATCTGCCACGCTTTGGATACCTGTCGCAATGCAGTGATAGCGATGGAGGTCTGTAGTACAACAGCTATAGTATACTGTTAGGATTGGCTTGCCTGTATTTGCTTTTCCTCTGAATGTATTTGCAAGTGCAGGTAGAAGAGAAAAGCAGCTCTGAATTGCATGGTGCTTTTTTCTTACAGGACCAATTAAGACTGTTGTTTCATGAAAAAAAATTGTAACAATTTGTTTTTAGAATCAACAATGTTTAAAAGTCAATTTAATGTAGCTGTGAAACTTGGGAAGCATTCTGAAACATCCAGAAGTATATCCTATTTAAATTGATAGAACTGTGTGAAATCATCTTCACACTTACTTGAGAGTAATTCAATGAGTAATTTTGGTGCTTAGTGTTGTTGAGTATATTCAGAATCCTCTGGAGAATAAAAGCAACTAAAAGAAAGGAAAAAGAGCCATAAATGGTAGCTTTACTTTGTTTACACTGAAGACGTGATAATGGCTATGTTCCCTGTTTAATGCAACAGTGTGAGATGTCCTTTTCTCTCATATTAAAACATTCACCTAGTTCTGAACAGAAATAAAAGGTTTGAGGCTTGTCACCATCAGTTCTATAGATAGCTTTTGAAAAAAAATAATAATGAGATATTGGGCATTGTAAGGCTCAAGAGCTGTCTTGCCAGACTCATTTATTTCCATTCACCTTTTGTCAGCATTGCAGACAGAAGACATTCAATTAAAACATGTCACCTGTTACTTGTGATCTAATTTGTGTTTGTAAATGGCTTCACGTGCTCCAAGCTTCACAAGCTCCCAGTTTTTTTTAAACAAGAACAACATTTGGAAAATGTTGGCAATGTATGCCTGGGAAAAGGCTTACCATTGTTGTTATGTCAGTCACAAGGCCAAAATGCCTGTTAGGAGGTTTTAGAACAAACCTATCCCTAGATCATACCTGGAATCATGTATCCAGTATGAGCAAACCCTAAAGTACAAATGGATGCCATTTCCCCAGCTAATTTTTTCAATCAGCAATCAAGACCCAATTTCTTTTTAATGCAAAGGGACTGCTTATTTTTCAATCCATATTTCAAACATCATAGGTAGCATATAGACAGCTGCTTAATATTTTGTCTTATTTTTCTTTGAACTCCACATCAGACCATGCTAACTGCTTTTGAAACTTCTTTTACTTTGAAAAGCAGTTTGGCCATCCATGATGGTGATAATTTTCTGGTACCTGGCCATTATTATCTTCCTGTTCAGAATATATTGGGCATGCTATTTTTCCTCTAAACTGTAAATTGTATTCTTTATATATTAGTGTAAGCTGGAATAGAACTGGATACCTTTTAAGGTTTCCTATACCACACTCAGTAAGATGCTTCAGAGTGCAGATAGCTATCAGGAGACAAAAACTGACTTCCCCTTGCTAATTGTTTATTCAGCAGTAGAGCAGGAAAGCTTTAATGTGATCCATAGCTTTTATCTTTTTTGATGACTTAGGATTCTGTTGTCAAAAAATTGACTGGCTAATGGACATGCATTTTGCATCTCCAGATCACTTTTTAGTTTCACCTGTATTCTGACTACCAATGTAAGTTGAATAATTTGAGACCTATTTAGCATGTGTAACTTAAGTTCCAACCCCTGTAAATATTAGAGGCCTTGTTTTTCTTCACTTTTCTTCTGGCATAAATTCCAGCAGTGTAGAAGAAGAATCAAAACTTGAATTTTGGCAAGCAACATTTTTCTTCCTGCAAAGTGAGGAGTTGAAGAGATGATTAGTGTAAAGCCAATACAATAACCATGAAACATGCAGATTTCTAAATAATGCTCCATATGCCATGATCCAGTTAAGTTTTCTTTAATATTAAAAGTTGCCTCATTGAGATATTCATTCATCTATATTTCTGCTTTAGGACAATATCCTAATAAGAGTTTAGCACTAATCTTCATTCTGCAACTTTTTCTCTTTACTTATTTATTTGGCTTCTGCTACTTCTCCTTCTATTTCTTCAGATGTCAATAATACTTTAGTTTAATCTGCTTTACACCAGGATAACACAGAATTCAGTTTTACATAGAGAAATATAGTGCATTTTTGACCTAAAAATGCTATTTCCTAAATGCTGGAGATAGATCTAAAGAATGTTCAAACTCTTCCAACTTTACTGTGGAGTCTGTTTTTATTCTTACATACTCTGGGTTAATCTATCGCAGACCTATTTATTTACTCTGAAACTTAGATTGACTCTCCTGTAAATAAGATTTGAAGTCAGCCCTGTAGCCTTATCCTATTTCTGTGAGAATCTGCTAACAACTTTGTTCTGACTTCTTTCTTCCTTATCTGACAGTTTCCTCTAAGGATGCTTTGAGAGAATCAATTCCAAGAGTGTAATTCACCAGGGCTAAATTGCAACTGTGGTTCTGGCTTTGAATGATATTTTGTACATATGATTTGAGTATCATCACCACTTTTGTTTTTCCATTTCAGTACATCTGTCTTCACTTATTTTTGAACATGTTGCCTATATTCTAGAAAACGGAATGTTGTCTGTGCCATTCCTTACCCCTGCACAGTTCTTATATCTGTAAATATCCTATATTAATAGCTAACATATATTTTTTTCCATCTTTGCACCTCTTGCTATACCAGTCTAATAGAAAATCAACAGCGCAGCTCACATATACACTTTCTCCTGTGTGGTTATGTTATTAAATTAATACTTGTTTCTTTATCCTCAGGGTAAGAAGGAAAGAAATTATGGCTGATAAACAATTAGTCAATAAATATACCTTATATAAATATTTATTTGAGTAATGTGCGGGTGTTGAACCTCTTAGAGCCCCAAGGCCACATTCAATTTTGGAAAAACTCTTTGGCTCACATGCTAAAAGTAGAACTATCTCCCATGCCAATCTATTTTAGCATAAAGCTTTTCTTCTCAGTAACAAAGCTTTAGAAGAGGCATTTCAGCTTTTAGAATGGGGGTTGGGGAAACAGTTCAAAAGCTGAGGAGCTATCGAATGATCGCTGGAACCCTAAAAGGCCAGCTTGTGATTGTGATCCATAGGCCTGAGGTTCTGCGTTCCTGGCATAAAGGATCAGGTTTACAGTTTTGTCACTCACTGCAGGCCAGTATAGCCTTTCATCAACTAAGGTTGGTGTATCAACTGTGACTTTCTCCAGAAGCACTGTGCAGATGCAATAATCCACCCAGACAACATTGGTTACTGAACAGATTAAAAATATAACAATCTTTCCTTTTGAGACAGGCCAGGCACTACAATTGTTGTAGTGCCGAACCCACTAGGAGTAAATGCTGGGATTATTCTGTGTCATAAAGTATTTTAACTGTTGCTTCATTGAGGTTTTATTATATATTTTTCTGTTTATGTATTGTGTTACTTTTGTGGCATTGACTGCATTGTTTGTAGTTTATTCTGAAATACCTTGGGCCCATTTGGCTGAAATGCAATGCGGATGAGACCTCTAACAAAACATTGCAGTGTGGAATGCTCTTGTTTGGTGTGCCAGCCAGCAAGCCAGCCGTGTCCTCCTGCAGAACGCTCCATCCCATTCTATTCCTCCTGTCTCTCTCTGCCCCCTTCCTGTTTTCTGGAATTTTTTAATAGTTTTACAAACTTGGTGCTCTGCCAAGCCCACTGACAAACTCTTGTGCCTAGTGATGTCACTGGCTTTATAAGCATCATTTCTAATGCCTGAAGACCACAAATAAAGGGAATAATAATAAATACATGCATCTCTATGAGACACTAAGCAATGCACAAAAAATCCTAGCGTTCATTGAGGTAGATTTAAATAATGATATTAAATCATTCCCGTCTGGACTTCTGTAACGCGCTCTACGTGGGGCTACCCTTGAAGATGGTCCGGATACTTCAATTGGTCCAAAATAGAGCTGCCAGGCTGCTGACGGGGACTGGACGTTATGTTCACATGACTCCAGTTCTCCGTCAGCTTCACTGGCTTCCCATTGAAGTCCAGGCCCAATTCAAGGTGTTGGTAATGACCTATAAAGCCCTAAACGGCTTGGGTCCTGGTTACCTGAAGGAGCGCTTACATCCTTATATGCCCAGCCGCCCCCTGAGATCGGCGGGAGAGGCCCTTCTCCGGGAGCCCTCCATGGAAGAAGTTAGGAGGGTGGTTACTCGGAGGAGGGCTTTCTCAGCGGTGGCGCCTAAGTTATGGAATGCGCTCCCCAGAGAGGTCCGCCTGGCGCCGTCATTTGTTTTTCGGCGCCAGGCGAAGACCTTTTTATTTAAGCAGTATTTTAAATGTTAATATTATTGAATTTTATTTGGCCAGGGCGGCTTGTTTTATAGTGTATGTTTTATATTATATAATTGTATTTTATTGTATATATTTTAAAATGTTATTTTAACCTTTTTGTTGTAAGCCGCCCCGAGGCTTCGGCGAATGGGGCGGCATAAAAATGTTTTAATAAATAAATAAATAAATAAATTGTTGGAATGACAAATCCATTTATCTTTTGTTCGCAACTGTTCAGGATTGTAGAATAATTACGAAATATGACTTTAGCTCACTATGGATTCAGATTCAATTTTGCCATCATTTATTGAAATAATTGAAGTAATTCTTAGCACTTCTGTGTATGTGCAAAGGTAAAGTTGAAATTGTTTCCAAATTCTGTTTTGTTTACTTGATTTATTATATTTATATTCCACCCTTTTTCTTTCAAGGAACACAAGGCAGTTTAATAATCCTTCTTCCTCCTCTCAATCTTATCCTAGATTATTTTCAGTTGCTTCAGATATTGGGCAAGAGCCATGAACTTTGATACCTTGTAAGATTTTGCAGAATTATTTAATACATTTTGAGAGATGTTAAACAAATTTCTGTTTATTTTCTTACTTTTAGGAGTGCGCCTAGACAGAGTACGTGGAGGTCGTCAGAAGTACAAGCGCAGAATAGATGCAGAGAATAGTCCATACCTGAATCCTCAACTAGTTCAGCCAGCCAAAAAGCCATGTAAGTATATCAGAGGATGGTGCTTTTCTTAATGAGTACATCCTGATGCATCAGAATGTCAATAAAACAAGAACCTCAAATTAATCAGATTCATTATGTACCCTATCAATGATAGTTTTGTAAACTATTCTTATCATCCATATCCTTATTCAGAACAGTGAAAGGAAAGATGCTTTTAAGCTTGAGAGCTTGCTAATGCACAATTTATGCAGTACAAATTTTACATTTACAGGTGATCTTTATTTTCAGTGGCACATAAAACGGCTCATGCTGTGATCATTAGTTCATTGAAGCTTCTAGTCTCCGATTTTACAAGAAAGTGATTTTTGTAGTTTTCACTAACTAAATGAGTTTGACTGCTCAACCTCCCAATGAAAATACATTAGGAGCCTCATTAATTTATAGCAATAGAAGGTTGACATACTTGCTAGTATTATATTAAAACAGGAATGTTGTACATTTACAACTTGCATAGGGTTGGTGGGGGGAGTGGGCGCTGATGGTGCGCCTAACACTGGGGTGTTAATTTTCTCATATCCAGCTAATTTTAAAAGAAGGAGCAAGATGCAGACAGGTAACAAAAGCATTTGCAGATGTACGAATAGATGCAGAAACAATGCTAATTCTCCAAAGTAAGTATAACAACAAAGTACAGCACAAGAAAAATATGACAGCTACATAAATTAGCAACCAAGAGCCCTTGTGGATCCTTTTGTATGTCACTTGCAAAATGACTGTTTTTGGTACCTAAGCAGTAGCATAGGCCTCCAGGGTACAAAAGCCTCCACTTTGGACAAGAGTAATAAAAGCCTTTGAGAATTACTCTGATGGCACTTACCTAAGTTGTGTCAAAAAGCAGTATGCTGTTTTTCACCTCCCATTCTGCAGTAGGAGACACTGCTACATACAATACATATGAGCATATGGGGATCTAGAAAGCAAATAAATAGAGTTTGAACTGTAAGTGAAAGGGCATTTTAGCTATGTCAAAGGGAAAAGAAACCAGTTTTACATAAAATTAAGGCTTAAGTGAACATATGGCATCGTTTCCTTTTGCCTTTCCAAAAAACATTATGCTGATTATACCTTCATTGTCCAATCTGGCATCTTCCACACAGTCTGCATAAGCTGTTCCACCACTCTGTAAATACAATCTAGGGTTACATTAAGCAGATTTTGCGCATTATAATAAAAACTTTCTGATAATACAATAAAATTCAATAAACTCTAATGCTTAATTTCATTAGAGGTTTAGATTTTTTGGATGCACAGATTGCCAGCTTTTCATTTATTTTATACTGTGCCATTGAATTGAATTGCTGACAGCTCGGCACATGCACACACAATTAAGTCTTTTTATCACAGACATAGGTTAATGCTGTCAGACTAAAAAATGTGAAGAACTGAAAGGGCACAAGCTACTTATAAGACATCCTGAGAAAGTCCCATTAAAAAGAATGGGAGGTATACATCCAAATACTGCAATGCTCTATTGCAGCCCATTCAATTCAAAAAGAACCAATCCAGGATAACTTCTGAATAAACTGTGCTTTCTATGTATCTAGCCAAAATAATTGAGAAGTGACATGTTGTGCAACCAGTAAGATAACTAAAGCAATTGTAAAAGATTGTATTAGCCAAGATAAATTAGCCCCCAGTCAAATTAGCCCCCAGTCTTAACCTATCTCTCCCTCTTACGCATTTAATGGCTCCCTGATACTCTACTTTTGTAAGAAACACCTTATATAAGTTAACTTTTCCTTTTCATCCATTTCAGCAAATGTCAGGAGAAAACAGTGAAATCAGTTTGACTAAAGGAGTAGCCGGGGAGATTTTCTGGGTCCTGACAGATAGTTTGAGCACAACAAAAGCAGCAGAATGAAAATTGGGTTTTATTGATTCTAATTAGGGAAATGTTAAATAAGATTTACCTAGGAGCCGCACTTGCAGCTATTCTGACTGCTGGGGCTTTTGAACACATTCAAAAATGCCTGTGTGTTTGTATTTCAGTTCTTGTGATGCTTTTCCTGATCGCAAAATGATAGAAATTAGCACATGTTATAATACTTGCTTGACCCTACCCCATTTTTAATTCTGTTTCTTTTCATCAGAACCTAGGGATCTGCCTACAGGTCTTTTCTTGTCAGAACAAAAGGTGCTGAAATTTTATGAAGTGTAAATTAAATTGTACAACATTTTGTATTACTGTTCAAGTGGAAATGTTTAACTTTGAAGAAAAAAAGCAAACAGAAGCAAACACAGAAGATATTCTCTTTATTTTCTATTTTCCTTCTCCCATCTGTTCTCATGTATGTTTGTTTTGTTTTTGTAAACTGAATTTGTCAAAATTAGCACTGTAGAAAACCTAGAACTGTGCCAAGTAGCTCCACCTGCATATATTTTATATTATTGATAGACGAAACTTTTTTGCAAAATATCTTTTTTGCAACACAAAAAACTTGGAAATATTTTAAAAAAACTATGAAAAATAGGCTATGAAAATATTTAGTAAGAAAATATTATGGGTAGATTAATGAAAGTGTGTATCTGTGTGTGTCCCAACCAATTGTTTAGTGCCAAAAGAGCAAACTGCTCACTATAACATTCTAAAACTTAAATCCATCATCTTTAAAAGTAATAAATATTCCCTGTTAATTTGATGATAATAATAGCTTATAGGGGTGTAACAATTTTTGGTTGGCATACCTCCTACTTATGCAACAATAAACATCAACCTTTAGGGTAAAAGAGTAAGAAGCATTAAAATCTCAATTTGAATTTTCTCATCAGTAATTTGAATACACAATTTGCATTAGCTAGAATGTCCACTCACTTAAAAAATAGCCCTCTTGCATTTCTATCCCAGATCAACAGCATTCATAACTGGTGCTGTTGACTAAAAGGGTTCCTTTTGTCATTTGCGAAAACAACAACATCTAATTAATCAACCATGCTTGATGATGCATCGTCTTGCTGTTTCATTTGTTTTATAAAGGACTGACATACTTCACCTTTCTGACATACATATTAACTACAAATACTAACTACAAATAGATCAGAACACTAGAATGAATGAAACAACAAAGCATTAAAAATCTATTTTGAATGAATTCTGTCAGGTTTTAAAGGTACTGACGCAGTTTCTTCACACAGTTAAGCTTCACAGTTGACATCAATGAGATTTAAGCAGTCTAACTGCATGCAGGATGGCAGTAGATTTGGAAACTCATGTTAAGCCAGTTACTCGGTGGTAGACTTGAGTTCCACTGGCTTTATCTCTGTTTTTCCAGTAAATATCAATGAAGTTGTTATAACAGTTAGTGAGACTAAAGACCCAGTATTGCCTAAATAAACAACTTTAAAAATGTGAAGGGAGGCGTGACTTCCAAAACCTCCAATGCTGAATCAGACAAGAAAATGAGTTTTATGTATACATTCTCCAGGGAACATCATTCATGGACCATCATGACTGTGAGCACTGTTAGCTCCATCAGGGGAGCAAATGAGGACTTTTGCAACATTTTTCTTGAGATGCTTCCCCCGAGAATCTCATGTATAATGTGGGGTTGATGTAAATGTGCTCTCCTCATTTCCTTTCTGTAGACTGAAAGCTAGAATGAGATAGACTGAGGGTATCTATGAAAACGTGCTCAGGAATCTAAGGCCTTCCTATTGCACTAAGTTAGATGTGTGCACAATCATCTAAAATATTTGACACTGATATTAGATTTTTCTTATATTGAATTTTGAACCCATGAATTACACAAGCCCTCATTTGGAAAGCACATAAATATATGCTTGATTTTCCACTGAGGGTCAGGAGCATAATGCATGGCATCATGCAGGAGTGAGCTCTGATGTGGGGCATTTGTGCCAGTAGGGATAAGCAGACATGGGAGGGTATTATTATTTCTATTCATTTCATTTCTGTACTGCCTACTCGCTGAAACTCTGAGCAGTTTACAGTAATTCATAAAAATTACAAACCACCCAGTATAGATACTATAATACAAAATAAGAGTCAATATACCATATTTAAGACAATTTAAACAGCTAACAACAGTTTCAGTAAAAATGCTAGGTGAGGTGAAAGGACAACAGGCATACATGCCCTATCATATGCCATTAATTACCTTTAAATGCGTGGGAGAAGCTGGTAGAAGGCATCCTGTGCTACTGAAGCCACTTGAGCATCAATTGGCAAAGATAATTGCAAGAGAACCCCAAATGACAAGTTGTTCCTTTAAGGAGAATGCAGCTCCATCCAATCAAAAGAACCGTTCAGTAACAGTATCTCACTATCGTCTGGACTGAGTTCTGCTGTATTAGTCCTCATCCAGACCATTGCCACAGTCAAGCGCTAGTTTAATATATCCACAGCCTCACCTGATGAAGATGAAAAGGAGAGTTTTGTGTTATCAGCATACTGATGGCATCACATGTCAAACTTTTGGATGACACCATTCAGCATAGCAAGATGAATATTTTCACATTACCTAGGCTGCTAGTCATAAAAATGAAGTATATGGAATATTTAAAGGCATTTTCTTCTGTCAACAGAACATATAGGATGCAAAATAGATAGAAGACCTGGCTGTAGAAGTGAAACAATAGTATAAATAGTACTGCATTATTTGTAAATTATCATGATTTAGTGGTTAGGTTTGCATCATTGTTTGAGGAAATCTGTGAAAAGTATCAATGTAAAACCAGATTTAAAATGGCCTTTTTTGTTTTGTTTTTTTGGTTGATTTAAAACACTGATTTAAACTGTTTTGATTTAAATCAATCCAATGAAAACTAAGGCACAGTTCATTTAGCATCTAATATATGCATTCTCAGTGGGCTTCCAGAACAAAGGCAACTTCATTGCAACTGCAGGGAAGCTCAGTTAATAACTGAATAATTAATCAATATATAAGCTGTTCTATAGGACTTGAGAGTTTTAAAACAAGAATAGTAAAATAATAAAAAATGAACAGCAAACTCCAGTAAATCCAAGTCTGCTACAGAACATACTGAAATGCTCAGGTAGAAGCTAAGAGGCATAAAATTTGACAAGAGATGAACATTTCTGGGAAGGACTTTTATACCTGTGATTCCAGAATTGAGAAAGCCCTGTCCACTGCCTCCTTAATTTCACGTGGAGGAAGAAAGAAGTGGTTTGGGCAGCTACATGTGGAAAGAAATGGTTCTTTATGGAGCCATGTCCCAAGCAATTCAGAATTTTATATTGCTTCCTTGAATCTCAGCTTATATTTTGGCTAGTTCTGAAGTTTTTGGGGATAGGTTCACACTTCTTGAGCAGCAGTGCTTTTTCCAGGATTTTTGTTCCCTTTGCAACTGTAGTATAGGATATATTGAGAAGCCCCAGTATATGCTCATTCCATCCCTTAAGATGTGGTTACTTCACATATATTGCTAGGGCTGCATTGCTGGTTAAATCCAACAAAGTGGCTTAATTTTTCAGGAGTCAGTGCCTCCATTCATTTATTTATTAGATTTTTATCAAAATTGCCCATTAGCATTGTGCTCCTTTTTGAAATTGGCCACTTGAAAAGTTTCAGTAGATTCTCTTGAGGAAGAGGTAATTGCTAAAAATATATTGGAATTAATGCTACTTAGATGAATAAATGTGCACCTTCATGTGTTAGATTCCAGCATTTCTACTTCATGATAGTGTCCTTCCAGTGTGTTCTTAAATTTTCAAGCTATACTTCTGCTGCCATCATGACACTATACGATGCCCTGGCACACAGTCTGGTAATTACTGCAAAGCAGCTTTCAAGCGGCATGAAGCTGTACTTACACAATTCAGATTTAGTTTCTTTCTGTTCTTTTTTTAAAAAGATTTTTATTAGAGAATGAAGCTGAATACTTAACAGAAGAGTAGGATGGTAAAACATTATAGACTGAATTATTCACATTAGGAAAGATCTAGTTTCTGAGATGGAAAATGCTAATTAGAGACAGCTACCAGAAATTACAGAATTCAGCCTTTTCATTTTTATCCAACTTATTCTTATCAGCGTTTCCCCAGGTGGAAAATTATATTATTTTGAATGTTCCTAGATGCATTTGAAGGCTCTCAGATGTCATCAAGTCCAACCTCACATAGTGGCAACATTACCTAGACCTAAATCGTCTTGATTTCTTTTCCAGTTCAAAATCCCTATATCTCTCTAGCCAATTAATTTGTAATTCTTATAATTGTGGCATGCATGTTCAGTTAATAGTAAAATGTCTGTATTTAGGACAGGCAGGGGGTCCTTAGTGCAGAAGTCTGTAGGAAACATTATTAGGGCTGCTAGTTTGTTTTGTCCCATTGGATAGACCCCATCTTCATAGCCCCTCCCCTTTCTCTATGCCCTGAGGTTTACTTTGGTTTGGTTTTAATTTGACATTGTGAAGGAATCTTGGGCTTTCATCAGTACAACTCATTGATTCATGTATTTAAATCAGGTGGTAGAATGGACTGCACCAGTACAGACTACAGGTGGAGATGTTATTTATGAAATATCCCCCTCCAAATATACACTTGGCAACAACCAAAAATCTAAACAGAGTTAGCACATGATGGACAAAGGTTCCAACCCAATACACTTGCTGCCTTGTTGGTTTGTATTTTGTTTCAACATGCAGATCATTTGATTATATGAGGAAGATATCAAGTGTGATTTCCCCCAACCAAGTTTTAAGTGGTAGAGTTTGATCCTTACTGCTACAATATTTTTATCCCACTCTTCTTAGAGAGGACAATGCCTGCTACCCCCACATCTGTCCTGACAATGGACTTATACTCGATCTAACAGAAATAACTAGTAGGTCAGGGATACACTTCAAATGTTCATAACTAATTTTAATAATTAATCAGATTTTAATCTTTGTGTAAATCTTAATCAGAGTCACTAGAACAAAATTAAATTCCCACAATCAAAAATAGAGTCACCTGTAGTGACTTGTGCCCTGATCTATCTTTGCAGATAACAAGATTGTCTCCCATTTGCTGGTGGCTGAACCAGAGAAGATCTATGCTATGCCTGATCCCACTGTGCCGGACAGTGACATCAAGGCCCTCACTACTCTTTGTGACCTGGCAGACCGAGAACTGGTGGTCATCATTGGATGGGCTAAACATATTCCAGGTACAGAACACTGATCTTATGCGAAATCTGATTAAGGAAGGAAGGAATGAGGGAGGGAGGGAAAGAAAGGAAAGAAGGAAGGAAGACAGGCAGGCAGGCATTATATATATTGTTTTATTCCCTTTCTGTGCTTCGTTATTTCTGTATAGTTAGTATGTAGCTTAAAAATTCTTATAACAATGATTCAACAGAAGGGGACAACGTTTTGGTACAAAGCACTTAGAGGTATATTTAGGCCTCGCTGACTTCAGGAACACTTCAATATAGGTACACAGGTTTGTAATTCATATTATTTCATTCTTATTGCAGAACACAAGAGATTCCAGGTGTGTATCAGGCATCCAGTTGTATAAACCATGTCACACACACACACACACATACACACCCTCATGATACAGAGACCTGCACCAATGTGCAGACTTTAGGATACAGGACTAACCCTGAGATTGGATGTTATAAGCTGGGCCAGCAGAATGACTCGCTTCCTTGTTTTATGAGTGAATCCTGTTAGATGATTATATATTCTGCCTTACTACATTTGTGTGAATCTGTTCATTTAAGTAATTAAAATATGCCTTATTAAGGAGTCCATTTTAAATAATGCACAACATCCACCATTCTTCATTAGTTATTCTGGAATATCTCTGTACTGACTAAAAACGCATGGCAATAAAAATATAACTAAATCTCTTATGATAAAATGGAAGTGCCTTCCTATAGTGTGCTCCATCCTCTGGCATCTGCTCATACGTTTGCAGCAGTGAAACCTTTCCTGCTGCACTCATTTTCAGTGTACATGCCAGCTGTAAGCTGGCAGGGCAGCTTGGCTGATACATTGGCACAACTCATGAGAACTATTCTGAAATGAGACAAGAAAAACTTAAGACTGACAACGGGGATGTGTAATTATTATTATTATTATTATTTATTATATTTCTATACCAACCATAGCCAAAGCTCTCTGGGTAGTTCACAACAGTGAAATCCCCCATCCAGATTCCAACCAGGCCTGACCCTGCTTAGCTTCCAAGATGAGGCGTGATCAGGCCCTTCAGGCTACATGGAAGCTACTTTTGCACACTCGTTCTCAATTTCTCCCCCCACTTCAGCCATTTCACACTTTCGATGGGATACAAACATCTTTCTAGCTTAACTCAGCAAAGTTCATATTTAAGGTGTCTCCATCTCTCATTTGAGCAATTCAGACCCTTTCATATTTGAAGTTGCCAGCAATTTAGAATAAACCCAGGCCAAATATTTTGAGAACTCCAAAATAAATACTGCTACCAAGTTATGCCCGTACATTTTAGAGCATCATATAAGATAACATCTTGCTAGGAACTGACCATTGTTGCTGTAATAGAAGAGTGTCTACTGGAAACAAGAGGTTGCCAGCAGGTGGGGAGAAATAACTCCACTTTGAAATTTTTTACCTTCTAAAAAAATAGAAGAAAATTATTACTCCTTGGTTTCATGATAAATAAACAGTCACTGGAGTTTAAGAAAACTAGCATCGGGAGCTTACTGTTGGCACATGCAATCTAGCTGATGCTCTTTGCTCTGTGTCAGTGTAGCGCAGGTGCTTGCTAGTTCACATGGCTGAAGCACAAACCACTGTAGGTAAGAGGAGATGCTGCATTAGCCCTTGCTTGTGTGAACTGTATTTGAATATCCTGGTGCTTAGGAGGGATTCTGTTGTACATAGGGCCAAGGCTAGAAGAGGCAGGTTCTGTTTTATTTCTTCTGACTCTGACTCAGCAAAGGGTGGAGGTAAATGTTCTTTGCCCCCTGAATAGTTCAAAAAGTATTAATGACCAGAACACACTTTTTATTTCCATTTTCCTCCTATATTCCCAGCTGGAAAAGACACAGTAATGTTTGTTTATCCTTTACTTATACACCTCATCTGAGATAACAGGAAGTAACCTAGTGAAAACAGCGTGACTATATCTATGGATTAATGTTTCCTTCAGTTCACAGCAGTTGTGCTCTGTCAGTCCCACCCCATCACATCCACGGATGTGTGCCCTCCTTCCATGCAATGCTCCAGCTTAGTTTTGGGACATGTTTTCATTGCAGAGCTGAGAAGCCTGCGTGTGGATATCATCAGCACTCCACTCTTAACTGCTTTGTAAGTTAACAGACAAAGCCGTTTGCAGAGCTGTCATTTTGTTTCCTTTCACAGATATTAAACTAGGGAGTTGAGAAGATGAAGAATGAAATACCTGTTCATGTTTTAGCAAGATGAAAGGCTGCATTTGTATATTTCACTCAGTTTGGATTTGTGTTGGCATTGCAGAGTCCTAAAATAGCTGTTGTTTTAGGCAGGTAATAGCCACAGGGACTGACATACTTTAATGTCTTCAGACAGCATTGCAATTCTTGATTACATGATTATAATCTGTTCTAGTGACCCACAACCAAAGTTGTTGCCTTTTTTTTTAATTCAACATGTGATATTCATCTGTCTCTCTCAGCAAACTTTCTCTTCTTCAGGACCAGTCCAAAACATCTTTCTGCCTGAGGCAAAGCAGAAAATGATATCCCCCATGACTGGTCAAGTTATTTTGGCTCTAAAGCACTACGTAAACTACTTTTCTCTTTCTTGCAATTAAAGAACTGACAGATTGCTGCTTTTTTATCACACCCAAAATCAGCTGGCTGAACCTGCCCCCCAGTTCTACCCATGGTTCTTGCCTTTCCCCTACTCTCACCTTCTGTATTCTACTTCCTGTCCTCCACTCCCCTGTCCAACAGTGCATAGCTTCTCCCCTCCTATGGACCTGTCAGATTTGTTTTCAGTCCCAGTATGTTTTCTTTTATAGAAACACAGAAACAGAGCTAGTCAGGAGGAGATTCCTGGGCCATCTAGTCTGACCCAGCTGAACCTGGGTCCACTCATGACATGCCTATCTCATCACTGACCTCTTAAACCGTTCCGTCTCTCAGCCTTCCTCCTGTATCACATCATCCCCAATTCCTTTCCTTAGCCCCTTGCTTCTCAGATCACTTTTTACTGGTAGGCATGTCATGAGTGGAGTCAGCTAGAACTGGGGGTCAGACTAAATGGCCTGAAATACTGGGGGCAGTCATTCCTATAGCCTCAAAGCAAACCTTTCTTATATCAAGCTGGGAGGGAGATCTTTTCCCTTGTGCCACTCCAAAGTGGCATCCCCTTAGTAGCAGCCCCTTTTGTGGTGGTGGCCAGCCCCCTGGTGAGGCCTGGTTTTTATGTCCCAGCTGCCAAAATTTTTGGAGCTGGGAGTAGGGTAGCACCTTGCTTGGCCTGAGCCTAGGAGGCCACTGGAACTCCCACAGGTGAGGTTTGACCCCAGCAGAGCAGCACTGCATCACTTGCTTGGCTTGCATCACTGTGGAGCTTCCTCCCGTTTTAAAAAATCATGCCACAGCTCTTTTATTCGATATGGTGCAGGTGAAAATGTTTTAGCACATGTACTTTAATCCCACTGAGTTCATTGCACCTGTGTTGGATTCCTGAAACTCTAGAAGTGAAGGTCCATTAAAAATGTTGAGGAGCCAGTAGATACTGAGACCTGATTTACTGTGATGAGTAAGGAAAATTTACCCATGTGGTATCTGCACTATACTTGATTACCATACATGTGTGTGCTGAATTAGCATGCAGAATATCCTGTGCTGGATGTAGGGATGGATAAATCTGTCAGTTTGGTTTTTTCTCAGTATCTTATTTTTTCAGTCTTAAATCTATTCCATCCCATTTCCTTACCAGTTTGCTTTTTTTAAAAGCCTGTTTGAAAATTTGCATGCATTTTATGTGCATTTCTCTTATATGCACATTTTAATAAACTCAAAAATATGCATAATTTTTGCAAGCAATTTTCTCTAACATAATGTCTTGTTGTGTGATTTTCATGAGTATTAGCATTTCCTAATATACCCATTAATCTATCTATTTTTGATTGGTGAACTGCATCACAAAACTCAGAAAAGTTCAAATACTGAATGATAACTGTATTCAGTTAACATACTGTTTCAGGAAGTGCAAATTAGGTTGGTTCACAGCAAAACCAAATTTCTCCCCCAGCTGTAGGCCATACTGCTAGCATACTAATGTGCATACAGTAGCTGAAGGCTTGTTATAAATATAAAACCATCCATAGTAAATGTTGCTCAATGCAATTTTTTGTGGCCAGGGATCTTCTTTTAATCTGGACTAACATAATCCATTAACCTGAGCTTTTTATTTGATTTTTACAGTCTTTCAACATAACCAAACATCAGTGGAAAAACCTCTGAGAAAGCAAGAATAGTACCACAAACATCTATACAGAAAAGACAAGCAAACTAAAACCAAAACGCAAAACAACAAAACATATAGCTACACAGTAACAATCAGAGATACATTGAGCTGGTCTTGAAATTAGTGTGTGTGTGTGTGTGTGTGTGTGTGTGTGTGTATTCAACATTCCTTTTCCTGATCACTAATATAGGTTGAATTAGGTTGATCAAATGTCGGTTAGGGTGACGGGGAGTGACTTGACCCAAAATCACTCTGTGAGCTTCATGGACAAGCAAGGACCAGAACTGGGATCTCCCAGGTCCCCACTATAGCATTCCAACTGCTACATCACATTGGCTTGCCTAAAATGTTCAGGATAAACATATTAGGGTATTTCTGCACACAGTACATAGTTAACACATGAAATTGTATTGTGTGTGTGTTGTGCGCGTGCGCATGGGTGGGGGCAGTGATTTAGAATGCTTTTTAAAAGATTATAAAAATTAATGGAGGATAGGTCTTTCAAAGATATTAGCTATGATCGCCGAATAGAGGCTCCATGTATGGAGACATTTGTTTTTAATGGTTTTCTTAAAGGTGTTCTGTTGACATGCTGTTAACCTTCTTCAGTTTCAGTTGGTGAAAGAATGACAATATACACATTTTAAAAACAGATAAACTTAGCTCGTGACTACCCAATGGTGGAAACAAACATGATGTGATCACCACCTTCAAAACC